AAAAACAGGAAAACCAGACAAAGTCAGTTCAGCATTTATATGCATTTTTCCATTAATGGAACGTGAGAATAATTAGCCGTCAAGGTTTGAAATGAATGGATTATTTAAAAGTCGCTCACAAAGCAAGGCAGGAACAGAAATGCGCGATACACGAAGTCTAGAACTAGTCTAGGCAAAATTGAGGGATTTTATGCGGGGAAATTCCCCTAGAAACGTAGAAACAAGACTTCGAGCAAAGGAAGCACAGCCCATTGAGAACGCCTGATCTAAACACATGTGATCGCAAAGCTTTCAAGGAATTCCTCCGGAGATGCGGCATGCTGCCGTGTCCAAAATCATTCCATGCACGAATTCATTTTCCAGCACGGGGGCCAAAGTGGATTTAGTGGCACCTTCGATGCAAAATCTTTTTTTCTCATTCCATCAATTGTGTCTGCAATTTGGGATGCCAATATGTGGACTGTGAGCTACTGAGAGCAGCTGAAGTGAGCAATCGATCGGTGACGAACGGAGTCGCTAAGGTAGAAATGAGACCTGAAAATGGAAAGGTCTCTGGACCTCACCGACTCGTAGCAGCAAATCCCAGGCGTGGCAAGAATGAGAAAGTACCGATATACACATACCGATGCATGAAAACCTATCCAAAATAAGTCATGCTTCATTTCATTCATCAGGACGTTCCTCTGATATCACTGGCTCACAGTGGTGCACACCTTACCAGTTAGTTACCATGTAACAAATATTCCCTCTTCTTCCTCGTTCCACATGCACACCACCCAACAAGGCAGGCACGGAAATGTACGTAAGGACGGTGATTCGTCAGGCGTCAGGAACGCTCAATTCACACACACACATACACATACACAGACACAAATACATATAGAAACTGCATATATATGTAAATACATGCTCATATATAAACACACACACACGTCCTGCACAATAGAAAAGAAGCAGCACGCTTCACGAAATCGAAACAACTCATTTACAATTGCAAATCGGGATTTTAGGGTTCGCCAGGGTGCGACCCGTCTGACGATACATTCCCATCACCATCTCAGGGTAGGTGAACCGGTTGAACTGAACATGGAACTCCCGACACGTCTCCTCCAAGACGGGATATAATGCTGGAAGGCGAAAAGCATCCACCGTAGGGAAGAGGTGATGAAGAATGTGATCCCCGAAGGTGATGCCCGCGAGCCAAGGAATCCCCATCACTTCCGTCCTATCCCCGATGGCCTGCAGCTGGCCCACTCCCCAATCCCGATCGGGGGACGGTCGATCCCCATCGTGGAAGATATCTACGTGATGGTGCGATGCCGTGAGGCCGATGCTGGCGAAGACCACGGAGCACGAAGTGTGGATCCACATCCACAAGGACAGTCCCTTCCAGAACCTTCGAAAGAACGCGAGGATCGCCAGCTGGGCCAGAGGTAGCAGGTTCTCGGGATGAAGCGGCTGTATCCCAACAGCTACGTTCAGGTACCTCCTCACCAGGTCCAGAGGCATGAAGAAGGGGAAGAGAAAATGGACGTAAATGCGGGAGAGGTACTTGAGAAGGAATCCCTTGGAGGCTCTGGGCAGATAGTCGAAGAGAGGATAGGGCATGGTGATCTCCGCATCCAAGATCGTATTGGGAAACATATGATGACTGAGCGCATGAGAGATCCTCCAATCCCGAGACGAAAAACAGCTGAGGTCGAAGACGTACATCCTCACATTATCCCTCATGTGAAAGAAATTATGAGCATAGTTGATGGCAAGGGTTAACCAAGTCCCAGTAACCACGGCCCAAAGCCGCGCACCCGTAACAGCAGCCCCCAAGAATGTAAGAAGGAAGGCTGCCAAGAGCAAATCTTGGAAAAGCCTTGACTTCCACGTTGGACCCTTCTCCTTCCCCAGCCTTTCCCCTACTCGTCTCTTCAGGGTCCGATAGAACCCCTGCGGATGGAACGTGAAGGGCGACCTCCTGGGCCACGTCGCCTCCCCGACCCTGTACCTCTTTAACAGCCCCTCTGGAACGTCCGGATGGACATGCGACGCCTCGAACGCTTCGGTGATGTCGGATCCCCGAGTGATCCGGATCCAAGATTCCCCTCCGGGATGCCGTGATGCAAATTCTTCCAGGTCATACAATCTATCGTGTATCCTCCACAAGTGAGACGGAACGGAATCATCCTTCCCTTTTCCCTTCAGCCATTCCTTCTGCTTGTCCAACCACTTCGTTCCCCATACGCAATTTTTTGTACCCTGAACTCCGCATAACTGGACTGCGGACCCGGGTTCGACGCACCTTCACCCATCTCCGGTCCCCCAAACACCAAACGCACAATCACGCCCCATAGAGTCTGTGTGTACCAAATGTCCCTGAGGACCGAGCTCGCGTATGCTTGCCCTAGGCACAAGGTCAACGTGCCTACTGACGGAACAGAGTTGCATCCTCTCTCGCTTAGCACCGACAAGGCTCCCGCCCAGATACTACAGATGACGCCTGCATCTGGCTGTCCCATGGATAAACACTCACTTCGGTCAGACATCGCACCCGATAAACACCAAAATAACTTCTTTAATCAATAAGTTTAAATATTTATTTAGTTCATACCTTTCCTTACGAGTTAGGGAACAACAAATAAGAGTCAGCCAACGAGGAGCAATATCGTCATTAGAACAGATTAGTCACTCTCGATCTTCCACCACATGATTCTTCAATCTTCGATCATCATGAATGACCTGTGAAACAGGTAAATTACAGGTAAAAGGGCGGTAATTGACAGGGTTGCGGTGAAATTCTAAGGTGAAATTCACAGTCCCAATTTTCCCAGAGGTAAAAAAAAAACTTGTAAGGGCAGTCCCGAGGTTTTGGCAAGGTATAGCAAAAAACGGAAATAAAGCTTCGAGGGTGCATTCCGTCCAGCTGGGTGGACCGGCTCCACTGTTTCATTGATTCTCGTTTCCTCGATTCTCTTTGGAGTGACGAAAATTTGGAGATTCGCATCGGCCCAGTATGCAAGGAAGACTCACACCAGGACCAGTGAATTCATTTTTATGAAATAGGTCTCGCTTACAAATAATAAACATCACCAACGCACTGTTGCACTACGATGAGAATCTGCGTTCCTCGCCTTCACTTGTCCTTGGTCCGCTTGCCCTCCCCCTTTCTCGGCTTCCCCTTCCCTCGGAGGATCCTGAGGCGGACCATCTCCTCTTGGAAGTCCTCGTGTTCGTCCCTGAAAGCGAGAAAAAGGATTTCAAATCCTCCATTTCCAACAACGATCTCGGTGTTAGTGACATCTGGTAATTAAGGTCCGAACGCAGATACCTCTTTTAATTAAGGGTTCTTTGGGAGTACATGGACTCCAATGGTGGAAAAATGAGGGCTTAAAAGGCCTCTTTATCTCGCCTAAATGAGGTTTCAGCATTCGGGTCCTAATTCTTGTTAACCTCCGTAACATAAGTTGACAACGAGAGCACCAGACGTGCAGAGGACAAATCATTATTGCCAACCATGTGACATATGAATAAAATAGAAAGTAAGTAAATAAGTAAAACGAATTTGGGCGTCTTTGTCTCGCGCCAAAACTGTTGGAAAAAGACGACTGCGAGCTGGCAGGATTTCTGTGGTGACAACGTCCGAAGGAATTCAAAATTTTCCTGTACTAAAACTACTCAATGCAAGATTCACACATGCATCTGCCAGAGAAATGATGGCCGTTCCACGGTTACTCAAATTTCGGCCAATAGTCGGTCTTCCATGCCGTCACATGCACGAAGCGAAACGATTGGGAAATCTACGGAGATTGGCTGCGCGATTGGCGGGTGCAAGCTGCAATCAGAGAAATTTCAATAAATCTTTCCAATCAAATTTTTCTCGCAATCGCCGACAGTAGGACGGCGAGTCAAGAACATCACAGCTCAGCTCAGATCAGCGAAAAGATCAGCTTTCCGAACTACAACTCCAGAGGCTCCAGTCCAGGACGTGGCTAATCGCTGCTAATGGCTCTGATGTCGGCAACCGGAACGAACCCCAATGCATGCTAAATAGGTTCATGAATTTGGTTTTCTGTGCGTAATCCAGCAAACACGCGATCATTTCGGGCATGTCGCAACAGACATAAGCAAAATGGCTCAAGTGTTGAAACGGCCAGAAACATCGATGAGAAGTGTCACTTTCCCGCTTCGAGCGATTCTCACATCTGTGAAATCCCGAAGGCGGCTTCCCCAAATGAGGCTTCCATGGAACGTTACTTCGGAACGGAAGACTACGGAACCAATACTACGAGGTATAAAAAAAAAACTCCCATTGCAGGGCGATTCTCGGGTCTCCCTACAACGACGCTACCCGCACGGCATCATGAAAACAGGACAAACAAAATTCATCCACGATGGCACGACTGCGAAGGAAATGCAAAAATTTACTCATGAACGAGAGACTGAACGGGAATCCCGATCAACCAGAACGTCGATTCGAACCAAGTTTTTGCAAAACGACAGCAGAAGAATGGCGTTCGTGCGGCCAACGAGAAGAAGTCCCTTCGTCTGATACCCATCTGCCGTATTAGCATTTCCATCTGCTCCTCTTCCCAGGAGACAATTGGAGCAGCAGTCGCATGGATGATCTGGCAGACTCCATTCGGATTCCCATTCCAGATGAACCCGTCAGCTGTCCTTGGCCGTCTCGCTCTCGAGAGAAAATCTTAAAGAGTCACCGTCGACTCCGACCGTGCAACGCCGCGGAATTCCTCACAAGACGGAGCCGGTTCCCGAAAACGAGACGGGTCCTTTGACGGGCCTCAATTCCTTTGTCTGTCAAGGCGAAACACGCGTCTTACGAAGTCGACGCGAAAAAAAGGGGGATACGGATTTCCTCCAAGGCGAAACCCACCCAGAACGGCCGACACACAAAAAAAGGCACAATACCCGTTTCATTAAAAACTCCTCTCCCACTAATCGGATCCGTTATCGACGGAATGCTTGAACTCTAGGAGGTAGGGGGGGGGGGGAAATACACCTCATTTTCGTCTCGTTGCGACTAAAGCTCAAGGTGCTACGATCGAATCACGGTTGCCAAGTCCGGATCGGGTCAAGTATGCTTCTTTACTTGTTTATTCCCTTCCGAACAGAAACTACCGATGTCGTCCCCAGCCACGAAACGCCAAAGTGTGCCGAGGAAAAGGACCAGTTGTAACTATGATAGGTACAGCAACGAAAGTATGAAGGATCGGCGGCCTATGGTCCGTCTCATTCTTGCAACGGCCAGCGAAGGAAACCGCGCAACTTCAGAAAATCGGGAGAGAGATGGATTTCAGTGAAACCCACGTGAAATCCGACAATCCCAAGGAGTATGCTTTCCCCGCCCCGCACTCCTTGCCAGCCCACGCCCAGCAAACCTCACATACATCGACACAGTCGACGCGTTTTCCGTCCCAGCAGCTCCCCGCGGCCGCATTCGCCTCCGAGTCTCTCCGTCCCGCTCGTGCTCATCCCTGAGACTCTCCCGTTTCTCTCGTGGATCACAAGATGCAGGTCGATCCTACGGCTCTTCCATCGACCGATCGAATCTCGTTGGTCTCGTCTATACTTTCCCGGACTGTAAATGTCTTTGGACCCGAAGCGCTCAGGCATATGCGATCGTGAGAATGAATCGGGTGTTGAAATTGCATGAAATTCGAACCAAAGAATACTCGAAATATTAACCTGCCGCAACCCTGCACAGTCACACGGACGACTTTGGACACGGAGGAGAACAGCACGAAACGGCAGACAACTAAGTAGAAAATTTCCAAGCAGCAACTGCTTTCCCGAGTCTCACACCACCGAGTCTAAGGGTGGATTTTTGAACAGAGAACTATCCAATGATGCAGCTTTATCCCAGAGAAAATACTTGATATTACCTGGAAATAAAGCAGGATCATCGGATGTTGAAAAATCCACCCTAAGCCACTTCGGGGTACCGACGGAGGATCACGAGAGCCGGCCTCACCTGAACAGCCCGTAGTCCCTGAGCAGCAGCATGATCTTCCCCGTCTCCTCGTGCCTGGGGTAATACCTCACGATCTGGGGGTTGAGATCGTCGGGTCGGCGGGCCAGGCGGTCCACGACGCGGAAGGAGGTCGGGTTCGTCGGGCGCACCACCTCCCCGAAGATCCGCTTGCTCAGGCGGTCCATGCGCCGGGCGTACGTCGTGCCCTTGCGGGCAAGCTCAGAGTACTTGTAGAACTGGCTTCCCATCGGCTCTCTCTCATCTAGCAGAGTTTCGCATCTGGAAATTGGTTCGTTCCTTAGAAAGAAAGCCTGACCCACGAGGACCAGCACAGTAGGGATAAACATGACAAAATGTAAGTGAAAAAATAGCTACAGCTGACAGCGAGCGTTTTAAGCATGACGAATTGCTGGTTCCGCCAGGTCTCGATTATAAATAGCGGGTGGCCAAAAAGAAACCTTCCTAAATTTACATGGCGGACTACTGCACGATGTGTCAGCAAACAATTTGCATGTAACGTATTTAGGAGGTTTCATGCAACTTTCAATGAAATAGTCTCTCGCATAGTGGGCAATTCATAGGGCTGAGGGGGAAGGCCCCAAAAAGAAAAGAAAAAAAAAATTGCCAGAAGGGACTCAGGCCCCTCAAGAATTGAAGGACCGAAAGGCAAGGTGGTCTACCTGCAAAAGAATTATTTTCTCGAGCTCCACGCGATAGACCAGGTTATCTTTTACATGATTCCAAAAAAATAATAATAATTTGTGCGAATTGAACAAAGTTCTAAAAGCACTAAATCAAACGGCTTTTTTTTCGGAAATTTTTGCAGGTGGACCACTTTACCTTTCAACCATTACCATTTGAGAAACATTTTTTGTTAGTCCAACCGATGGGGTGGGAGCTTTATTCTTGGCCATCGCGTCCTCTAACAAGAGAGCGATTGTTTTCTCCACGTTGAAGATACTCGGACGGCAAGGACTAAAAATTGCGAATATCAATTAGAAGAAAATCCAGCTGCTTCGATGAACCGCGGATTGTTTGCAACTTTATCGTTTCAGCATAAAAAATTATTCAAAGTGTCTTTATAGTTACTGGTATACAGTCTATGGTCTCTCAGAACCCTAAAACAGCTGTTATTCCCTTTTGCGGAGAAAAAGCTCGTACTAGAGTCATTGGCGATCTATTTCATTCAAACTTTCGCGATACCCTGTAAATTTCTTGCCAAATCCAAACGTTTCGGCTGCAACAAGGGGAACTTTATTTGGACCACCTCATATGTAAATATTTTAATAGCAGGCAGGATACTTTTAATCGGGACACCCTGTAAGTTCATAGCATTATGGCGATAAAAAAATTTTTTCTTAGAAACCCTTTCCTATCAAACATTACCACATCAAGGGGAAATGGAACAAACTCAGGTTTTTTTTTTCGCAAAAACAGTAGTCAGAGTCAAGGTTGTCATCCTTGATGATGGCCCACATGGGCCATCATGACACAACTCATCTCTGGTCCTCACAAACAGTGAGAACAAATCGCAATAGCATGTGAAAACTAATTTTCATAATTACAAAGCTGTGAATATGCTCTCTTGAGTTCATGATGATAAACTCGTTGCTCATAATAGGTAGAAAAGCATGAGCAATTTGCACCTCATTGAACTGGTAGTATCTGTGCACTGATGGAACATTGAGACAACTGAGATGCATTGATATAAAAATAAATATTAACTAATATTTGGGTGTCTTGATGCTCCAAATGCCAGTTTGCCCATACCAGTATCAGCAACTGGGGCACTCAAAAACGAGGACTGATACCTCGCATACCATGAGATGGTTATCTTGTTGAAAATTTTTGTCCCCACCAAAGTGGAGCTTTCTCTCCCAAAACAAAATTATGGAAAACGAAGGGTGCATGACTGAAGGATCTTCTTGGAAAGAAACAACCAGGTCAAGGCAATCCACAGCTCAAAGCATTCCTTCCATATCACACACTCCCACAAAGATTCAGATGGATAGTTTCTCTACTTTCACTGCATGGTCTAGTAAATGGTATACAATCAAAATGTTGAGCATTGGAAAATACCAATATCAGTATTTCTGCACCTCTTGCAGGGGAGTTTCAGCATCGAACTGGAATGCCAGCTGCAGCGAGATATGTGAATGTGAACAGGAGCAGAAGGTACATTGTCATAACAAGATCTTGAAGCAGATGAGCTCTCAATCTCAAGTATGCCATTGAAGTAAATCCCCCTAAAAATTTGCCATGATTCAAGAGATAATGCATGCAAATGCAAGCATGCATTTGCACTGCAAGCTAGAAGACAGATATGGCACAATCATGAGAAACCAGAGAGACCACATGGAGCATATTCATTGAGAGCGACAGAGACCTAAGAAACACGATGACCAGTAGCAGCAACAGACACCACATGAAGAGACTCAGTAGATGAAGTATGAACGAGAAGGAACTCCATTTGTCTTTTCCTGCTGTCAGTCATCATCAGCAAATACATAGGTCTACAAAAAAAATGACTCAATCTCATCACAGCACTTCTTCCAACAAGGATGTTGAGCACTCCTACATATTGACACAACACAAAGGGAGGCTCACTTTTGGAATGGCATTTAAGGTTGCTTGATATGCATCATCAATAGCATTGCTTTGTATCATGTCACACGATATATAGCATCCCCCATGTCAGAGTGTTTATGGTTAGCAAACACCCGAAGACTTGCATCTGACCAATACAAACTTGCATGCAAGACATTTACAACTCAAAGAGAAGTCAGTACAAAAACTTAATAGTGATAAAATTTTGCTTCCATCTTTATTCTGAGGGAAAGGACCATGGCAACAAAAGAGTTGGAAGCCATAACTGTGGTGAAACTTATGCAACCTAAATATTGCAGCAAATCTCATGACCATCTGAGGGCAATGTACCATAAGACTTTCAGATCCAGCTGATGAACACAGGACTGACCAGGGCTACTCAGGCTGGCAATGAAATCCACAGACAAATCATGGGAATAGTCTAGAATTTAAACAGCTCATATTTACAATCATTAATCAACCCTAAGAGTCAATTAAGACATGAAGCTGGCAAGGAAGATCTTGATGCATGAAAAGATTCCTTGCATCCTCTGAAATATTTTCCAAACCTGGATATTGCACACAATGAATGAATCCTTTCAAAGAGATTCAGAGTGGTAACAGTCAGCAGTTTTTTGCCACATAATTTCTTTCTCCTCATGAGCCCCTTTCCTCAGTGACAGACACATTTTAGATCGAAAAGAGTCTGAAAAGCAGTTTGCCCAAAGCATTATACAGACTTTAGTGACATTTAAAATTACTTTTCCTCAGACTGCTCACACAAGTATCAACCCAACTGGTCTAGTTCCTTGGCTTTATGGAAGAAGCACTCTCTCCTTTGAGGCACTCCATCAACCAAGAATGGAATGAAGGGAAGTAATGAAATAAAATTTTCCAACTCTGCAGTCCCTCCAAAAGGTAATCTGTACACCTCCAAACCAAGAGGGCGTTATTTTTCTGCAGATGCTTGCCTCACATGCTTAAGTCTCTCAATACATTTACCCTGTGACTGGTGAAAGAAGGACGAAAGGAAGAGCCAATCAAGACATGAGTTGATCACAGACAAGCAGGGCAATTCCGACCCTTTCTCTTCATCGCTCTGGACTCCTTTCTTCTTCTACTGCTCCTCCCTCCTCTTCATCCTGAATGTAGAGTGCAAAATGAGATGATTAGAATTCACATCTGCATGCAAGCCTTCTATATCATCTTCCTTCATGACAATGTAGAATGCAGGAATACAATTTATTTTGGACTCTAGAATATTTATTCCCAATATGCAAAGTCATCACATGTTCATCACATCATCTAGAATATCTTTTCATTCTTTCCAAATATCCAACAGAATGGCTTCAAAATATCAAGAAATCGAGACTGAGAAATTTGATCGTTTTCTACATTCCACTTACAGGCTATGACATCCTTAACTGTATTAAGAGTATTCTTATCCATGGAAAAGTGGGATAGGACAAAGGGCCTATATTCATTAAACATACGTCTGATGCACACAGATGGAGTACTTTTGCCTGAGACACACTCTATTGAAGTGATCCTCTTGATCCTCCAAGATAAGGGATGACTGAGCAATATCCTCTAAACAAGATGGCACTGCCATAATAGTCCTTCAGGAATAAATTTCCTGCTCAGTAAACAACTTTCACCGGGTCCATTTCATTCATAACCCTTGACTCCTCATTATTTATGTGTTGCAAAAAATAGAAAACTGCATTTAAAAGCAGAAATCTCTTCATCTAATTTCCAAATTATTTGGGGGTTTGCCTTTCTCATGGCAAAGACAAGAAGAATGGCAAGACAAGAAATTGATGAGTGGATGCCAACAAGCAGAAATTTACATCCCTACAAGTCCAGAAATATAGATAGTCAACACAAAACAGAGGATGGATCAAGTGGGAAAATGCCTCCTCACAAGAAGTTTTTCATATTTGTAGCCAGCTTACTCAAGCCAAAAGCCTCAGAGGCATATGGCCATAATGACCCAAAAACTGGGTACCTCTGCTCCAGTGAATATTAGTTTCTCTACTTCTCATAGTTAGTCCTATAAGTAGGGCTATTTTAATGGTATTTGGTATATATTTTCTCCCAACATTCTTCCAGACATGAATGTTATAACTTTTCTTTATCTCATTCAAGAGCCAAGAAATGAGTGCAACAATGGAACCTTTTTTTTCTCTCACAGATAAACATTGGAAAAGTCAACTGGTGAGAGTTTCCGAAGTTGAGAACACAACAGAAAGTGGATGCATTAATCCAAGCAGACCAAGGTGCAATAATCCATTAATCAGCACAAAAACTGGGATGTGCAAAGGAAACTATAGATAATTGATTCATTATGATGAAGATAAATCTTTGCCAGGTGGGTTCCAAAAGTGCTAACCACTGAAATGAAGCTCACTAGGCACCAGGTAGCTGGGTGAGCTTCATTTTGGGTCGACCTCTCAAGGTTTATTTGTGTGGTCCATTTCCCTAGCTTTGATATGGGAAACCCATCTCTGAACATTGCTGACATCAATTGTGCCCTCTCCATACACCACAGCAAGCTCCTATGAATTGTGGTGGAAAAACTGTCGCCAGACTCTACAAGGAATTCAATCACAGTCCGCTGTATAGGGTTCATTGTTGCGCTCATTTCTTGACTCCTGAATGGGATAAAGAAAATGTATAGCATGTGTGGAGGAATGTTGGCAGAAAATATATATCAAATAACATTAGAAGAGCCCAACTTATGGGATAGATATAACTAAACAGGCACTACTTTTCAAACACTCCTAATATTTGATTATGTATTAAGAACTTCTCAAGATGTCACCATTAGATTTATCTTGATCTGTATCACCTTGTCATCTCACACCAATGTCAACCCTTACATCAGCCACTGCAAATTTTCTCGAAACTTTTGAGCATGCAGTGCTCATCCTTATCCAACACCATAAGTGACACAATTCAATTCCAGCTCTACTTTATTGCATTTGGGATTGGTCAGCCAGGGTCATCTTGTCGTCAAATCACTTCTGGTTCATAAGCAAAGTTGCTCCCTTCAATTACTTCAGTTGAAAGAAACGAAGGTGAATAAGAAACAATATGGTCCCATCAGTGCTCAAGGGAGCTGATAGACCACACCTCAAGAAAAGTCTGGCTGTCGGAAGGGTGGTAATGTGTTAATGGCAACTCTTTGGCAAGCTAAGTTTTGTGACCATATGCTCCAAATTGAGCACAAGTTTCAACAAATATGAACCTGAACGATAAGCTTCAGACAGCTTATTCATTTCTCTACTATGAAACTCGAAACAAGTGGAGAGGACTGGCTTGAATCTTCATTTCAAATGACTTGTCATATCACTTGCCTCCTTTCACAGACCCAGGAAGACATTTAATAGCTTTAGTAGTTTGGAAGTATGAGAACTCAGGCAAATTTTAAACGAGGAAGCAAAAGTTCTTATATAGGAAACCTGCCGTGGTTGTCAATACGAACGGTATTTAAACTATTGCAGACGCGCGAAGTGTCCGATCATTTCTTGGGGGGAAAAAACGCACAACCTTCTTCAAAGGTTCCCTTTTATTTGACCGAAAAAAATCAGACAAATCATGGATAAAAGGGAATTGGGATCTGTCCGCCAGCCGAAAGCTTTCCGTTTTGCTTAAAGATTTTCAGCTGAAGGAATATGTTCCCGGAAGCAAAAAACATGCGCTAAGATAATTGATCGACGACGAACTGCAAAAGAAATCTAACAACAACAAAAAAATTTGTCTTTGCACCTCACCGACTCGTCCCTGCAAATCCCACTGTGGCAAAAATGAGACAGTAGCAATATATACACCCCCAAAAAATAAACCATGCTTTTATTCATACACCAAGACTCTTCCCAGACATCTCACTCTTACTTCGGTCATACGAGCGGCAGCGGTGGGGAATGACCGCAGAATGCTGCACAAGGGCACCCACCATACCTGACCAGTTAGTTCCCCATAATAAAAAAAACGCTCCCTCTACTTCCCTATTCCACACGCACACCACCCAAGGCAAGCACGAGAACATGTGCGAGGAAGGTCATCTCCTATGTATTCCATTCACACACACACACACACGGCCTCTATGGTATCGAAGAAGCAGCGCGGTTCACAGAATCGAAACGACTCATTCACAGTTGGAAATTGGAATTTTAGGGTTCGTGACAGTGCGACCCGTCTGACGATACATTCCTATCACCAGCTCAGGGTAGGTGAACCGGTTGAACTGAACATGGAACTCCCGACACGTCTCCTCCAAGACGGGATAGAGCGCTGGAAGACGAAAAGCATCCACCGTAGGGAAGAGGTGATGAAGAATGTGATCCCCGAAGGTGATACCCGAGAGCCAGGGACTTCCCATCACCTCCGTCCTTTCCCCGATGGCCTGCAGCTGTCCCACACCCCAATCCCGATCGGGGGACGGCCGGTCCCCATCGTGGAAGATATCCTCATGATGGTGCGCTGCCGTGAGACCAATGATGAGGAAGACTACAGAGCACGACCCGTGGATCCACATCCACAGGGACAGTCCCTCCCCGAACCCTCGAGAGAACGCGAGGATCGCCAGCTCTGCCAGAGGTAGAAGGTTCTCGGGATGAAGCGACTGCTTCCCCACCACGGCGTTCAGGTACCTCTTTGTCAGGTCCAGGGGCATGAAGATGGGGAATAGAAAATTGATGTAGATGCGGGAGAAGTACTTGAGCAGAAATCCCTTGGAGGCTCTGGGCAGATAGTCGAGGAAAGGATAGAACATGATGATCTCCGCATCCAAGATCGTATTGGGAAACAGGTGATGACTGAGCGCATGAGAGATCCTCCACTCCCGGGACGACCAACAGCTGAGGTCGAAGACGTACATCCTCACATTATCCCTCATGTGAAAGAAATTATGAGCATAGTTGATGGCAAGGGCTAAGCAAGTCCCAGTAACCACGGCCCACAGCCGCGCACCCGTAACAGCAGCTCGCAAAAACGCAAGGAGGAAGGCCACCAAGAGCAAATCTTGGAAAAGCCTTGACTTCCACGTTGGACCATTCTCCTTCCCCAACCTTTCCCCTACCCGCTTTTTCAGGGTTCGATAGAACCCCTGCGGATGGAACGTGAAGGGCGACCTCCTGGGCCACGTCGCCTCCCCGACTCTGTATTTCTTCAACAGCCCCTCTGGAACGTCCGGATGGACATGCGACGCCTCGAACGCTTCGGTGATGTCGGATCCCCGAGTGATCCGGATCCAAGATTCCCCTCCGGGATGCCGTGATGCAAATTCCTCCAGGTCGTATAATCCATCGTGTATCCTCCATAAGTGAGACGGAACGGAATCATCCTTCCCTTTCCCCTTCAACCAATCCCACGAAGTCCTGTCCAGGAACTTCGCTCCCCAAATGTTATTCTGTACCCTGAACTCCGCATAACTGGACTGCGGATCCGGGTTCGACCCACCTCCACCCATCTCCGGCACACCAGAACCGAATGCACAATCACGCTCCACGCACGACCAAGTCAGTGTGGACCTATTGCGCCTGAGGAAGGAGAGCGTGCGCACGGGCACTAGTCACAAGGTCAACGTGCCTACTGACGGAACGGAGATGCATCCTCTCCCTGCTACTCCTGATAAGACTCCCGCTCCTGGGATTAGCCTCAAGCCGTCTGCGGCGCAGATAAGGAGAGGGAGGACTCGCGCCGAGATATTTGAGATGACGCCTGTATCTGGGTGTCCCATAGATACGTACTCACTTCAGCGATAGTCACGTACGACAGTTACGCATAGAATATTAAAAAAAAAAATCAATCTATACTAGATACAGATGAGATGTTAGTGTCACACTCTCATTATTTTCTTGAAAAAATCATGGAACATATGAAGCAAGTCATGTTCCAAACATAAAAAGTCCTCATGTAATTTTACATCTAAATTTTATTATAGTAGCCTAATTTGTAAAGTCCCTGTTATTTCAGTTCAGATTTTCAAGTTTTCTTCCCGATTCTTGAGTTATTTGCAAAAAGAAATGTTAGATTTTTGTTTGACACTGTATTATTAGCTATTTCTCGCAACACATTCACTACTGTCTAATTGCGACAATTATCCATTATAATAATACATCCATTATCATTAATTATAAAAAAAACACAAACGGTGCCTCTTTTGAATATCATGCGAGTTCTGCGTAGCATCCGAATGAGAATTAGAAACAACCATATGGCGAAAAACAGAAAATGCACCGTCAGAAGCCCTGAGTTCTGTCGCTTAGAGCTCTAAACGGGCTGCGGGACTGCTCAATTGGCTCGACCCGATCCTGCGGGTCGGACCGCAGAGGAGATCAAGATGATGGTCGAATATTTATGGCCCTCGACTCGGATAAAAAATTCGACCTGTGCAGGCCTCCAATGAGTGTGGACCGGAAGAGAGGTTAGACAGACACCCACCCAAACAAACGTCGGTTATCATTATGGATAAGGAGAGAGAAGCTTGTTTCTTGGGGACTTTAGAAAGGGTAGAGGAAAGCCAAGTCGACAGTGGGGGAAAAACAACACCAGCGCTTCTGCACTGAAGGACCATGAAGTAATATCGATTCGCTGGTACACCAAAAGAGTAGTATTACTTACGAAAACTAGAATGTCGTTAACGCCGCTCCTGAACGTTCGGGTAGCTCATACTTTACACGCCTGCCTCATATCAAAAAGAAAACAATAGTTAATAACCGTCAAACTATTGTTACCGTTTCATTCCAATTTTCCCGATTCGGCATCGCATTTCCTTTCGACTCGCGTCCTGAAATATTATTCCACTATCAAAAGGGAAAAGATGCACGATGAATTAAGCCTCTCTTCCCCGTGAACTTAAAAAAAACGCTCCCAAGGGGCCTCATCGCTGTTTCATCTCCATTTCAAAAGAGTAAACCAACTGTCTTACTTCAATCGCACCAAATAAATGGCTAGTACAGATCCAAGAGTAACTTATTCCAGTTGCGACTATTTTCTTCATGTCTAAGGAGCTCACATCATGTAAAAAGTAAACAACCTAAAATCGCACACAGTTTGCACAATCGGCATTTCCAAGATGTCCCACAGATTCCAATGCGTTGTCTGTGGCTCATCTGAGAAGATGCCAGTCTCAGCACATCAGATCAGTGCCCTAAACAACCCCTTTTCCTGAAAGATCCATGGGTGCGTTCCATCAGTCACTAAAAGCTTCTACCGACTATAACCTGACGGATGAATTTCATGGCTTTGGCATTAAAAAAAAAGGAGCACAGAAACTTTATCAACATATCATGACTTCACGTCTAATTGATGTGCCAACTGATTCTGACAAAAAATGCTTTTTTCGAAGGAACAGATCCAACACCATTTCCGATTCTGATAAAGAAAACCCGAAGTGGGCAAGCCCATTCTTATCTATTGTTTTCTCTTCAGAGCAGTAGGTTTTCCAATGAAGACAGCAGCGATTAGCAGCAGTGTGCTTGAGCTCGAGAGGCACAAGAAGCACACTGCTCGACAAACCTTTCCCACGGGAGAATGGAACAAAGACATGTCTAGAACATCCCTCAAGAGGAGCATACAAATAAAACGCAATATAAAACCAGTTCGAGTACACGGGAAGGTCTCTCACTGGCATGTACCGTCGTGTCGATGTTGTTTTTGATCCAGCAATAATCTGTTTCGTGGAATTTCAAGGAATCGTATCATATCTGACCATAAGCCAATATTGACTATGGCAAAAAAAGTGCCTGGATACCTAGAGTACTTTGACATTTGACTTGAAATCCTAGCTTTAAAATTCATCTGGGTTCAGGTATCCAACACACTCCAAAGAACAGAGATTACTATGATATCTCCCATGCATTCCTGCTACTTCCTTTTACTTCTCTCTCCTCACACTCTCATCTATTAAAAATACAGTGACCCACTGACAAAAATAAGCTAGGCTCATTATGCATAGTTCACAAACCAAAGAAAATTACCAGTTTGGTGGATAAGGGATTGAGACATTTTAAAGATTCATTTGAAAACTCAGGAGCATCCAGATGATCTAAAAGCAAAAATCCATGCAGAAATCCACTATGAATAATGTTACTCATGTTCCTACGGTTACTTGGGAATTTATAGATTCATAAAGCTGGCTTGCCAATAATTTTGTTGGATAGAAGCAGTTCATTACAAAAAATCCTGATTTTCCAGCTTCACTTGATCACTGTCTGCTAAATAAACTTGTTAAAAAATATGCTGAAACAAACGTTCACTCTTGCACTACCAAAATCCAAAATGGGGTTCCTCATGCATTGTTTATAAATTATTATTAGTGTCACCCTGTCCCACTTCTTCCCCATGCAGAAAAACATGTATTAGCTATTATTTCAGCATATACTTTAATGTAAAAATATTTAGTGATAGAGAGAGGAAAATTGGTTCATTCCCTGACTGTCCCTCTCCTGCCTGGAGTCTTTCCTTTTCACATCTCTCAAAATAGAAATAATAATAAAAGCCAAGATGCCAACAATAAAAAATAAACATTTTCATCTTGAGGTTGCTATTTTTCAATAGCAACCAACATCTGAATAACTGAATTTCTAATTTCAAATCTTAAGTCAATGTTTGAGTAGTCGAATTTAAAAAAAAACTCAGACCATTCAATTAGGTCCATGCAGTTCAATTTAATGAATTTCACAAAGAATTATCACTAAAAATCAGTTTCTCTCACCTTGGTATGATCAGTGGAGGGGTCAGACAAAGATGACTCATCAACATCTGATTCCTTGGTATCTGGTTCCTGTCTCTGAAAAAGAAATCACATGACATTTTCTCACATCCATTCAAATAACATTTTTAACTGGGGCCACAGAGCTTAGGGTCATATGTATCTATTTCCCCCTTTCTTATTGCCTCTAACCAACATTTTTTTCAGGCTTCTCAACTTCTTAAGTCCAGTATAGACCAGAATAGCAATGAGTCTCAAGCGAGAAGTCTACATCACATAAAAGCCATGAGCAAAAACAAAGAAAATCAAATTTGGACCTGTGCATATGCTGAAAAGGGCACAGACATCAGGATTACATCTCAAAAGAAGTGGTCAATTTCTCAAAATGCAAAGGAATAGGTATGTTTTTCATATTTAACCAACCCAGAAAGAAAAAATTAGGAGTGGGACTAGATTGATTTACTAATGAAGGGTGACTGACCAGCTTCAGAAATTTCTTGAATGAAACCATACTGCCCATTCACATGTGAGCAATGTTCTAAGACAATCTCCCCAACTAAGTACCAATTCTGGAAGTAACAGGCACACACACAGTATACAAATGCCTTCTTCACCCATGCTGATTTCTCTGGCATAACTCTCACCATTGAGCCTAGATATGACCATAACATTGGTTTCAGTGGGTGGCTAATTCATAAACCAGAAGCTGACATAAACTGACAAACCATCTAGTTACCTGACAGTTGATCAAATTTAAGGAAAAGTTCCCAATGAAGTAGAAAATTCTCTCTGTGAGGAACCTACTAAGAAGGGACTAAAGTTGTCCATTACCCTGATACCTCATCATATGTTTTCCATTACAAACGGCTTGTGTAAGAACTCATGTCCAAGGATAGGAGAAGGATCTCACTTGCTCAATGAGTTCTTGAGAGCCCAGATGAGGTCCACAGAGAGAGAGAGAGAGCGAAAGACAGGAAGCAACAATACATTACGTGAAGTAGGACATGTCAGAATGGTGGGAAATAGGAGAAAGGGCAGCATGATTGAGAATCCCATTTCCCTCCCAATTCCTCACATGATACGGGGCAAGATGGGAATGAAAACCTTTTGGAAGTTGGACTGAAACCAATTGATAGCATACCTTCCATCACAAGGGCAGAACAACAAGCTGAAGTGGAGGGAGCCATTCCAATGCAGCCATTTCAAAATGATAAACTGGATGCAGGAGGGAGAATTTCAGTCTTCCCTGTTCATAGAAATATTGAAGAAAAAAAATAGCACTGGAGAGATTAGAAGGCATCAGTGCCTCATTTTCATATCAGAGTCCAGAGAGGAGGATGAATAAAAAATATGAATGAAAACAGAATTTGGTAATCAGAAAAATCAGTTGATTAACCAGTTGCATAGTTAACCATTGGCACCCCAAGATCAAAATGACCTTATCAAGCTGCCTGCTGATGAGCCTGTTTGGGATTGCATCCATTATGTGTCAATGACATATTCTTGGGGCATGATATGTTTACACATCATGTAAGCAATGAATGGGTTAAAAAGTGAGAATTTGAATGAGCTCAGTGGGTTTGAGTTGAAGATCCTGCTAAAGGTCCTACTGGCTTTTAGCATGACCCATTCTGAAATCTAGGCAACCCCCAAATCCTATATAAAAAAAAAACTGTTTATTTATGGAGATTTCAGCTATCAGAGGAAAACCCAACTCCATGCATATCTTTGTAGGATAGTATGGAATGATTTTTATGGGTCTCTCTGTGCCGATACGACGTGTCCCCCCCCCCCCCCCCCCCCCCCCCCCCCCCCCCCCCACACCCACCCCCCCCCATTCAGCTTCTCCTGCAATTTGGTCTATTAATCTTGGGAGCTTTTCTGCCAAAAGTTTCTCTTACTAAAATTATTGCAGATTTCTGGTTGCAGTACAAAGTCCATTTATTTCCTAGAACCCCTGAGGATGGAATGTGAACGGCGACCTCCTGAGCCATGTCGCCTCCCCGATTCTGTACCTCTTCAACAGCCCTTCTGGAAGCTCCGGATGCATATGCAACGCCTCGAACGCTTCGGTGATGTCAGATCCCCAAGTAATCCGGATCCAAGATTCCCCCCCGGGATGCCGTGACGCAAAATCCTCCAGGTCGTACAGTCCATCGCGGATCCGCCAGAATGAGGCGGAACGGAATCATCCTTCCCTTTTCCCTTAAACCAATCCCACGACGTCCTGTGAAGGAACTTCGCTCCCCAAATGTTACTCTGCACCCCGAACTTCGCATAACTGGACTGCGCATCCGGGTTCGACTCCCCCCCCCCTTCCCCCCCATCTCCGGCACAACAGAACCGAACGCACAATAACAACCCCACACACGACCGAGTCTGCTGGACTAAGTGCGCCTGAGGAACGGGCGCGTGCGTGCGGGCACTGGACACAATTGGCTTGGCTACAGACAAATGAAGATGCATCCACTCCCGGTTACCCTTGATAAGGCTCCCGCTCTCGGGATTGGCCTCAAGTCGTTTGCGAAGCACAGGTCATCGGGGAACTAGCGCCGAAGTAGTACAGATGACGCTTGAATATGGCTGTCCCATAGATATACACTCCGGAGAGAGATCATGCACGACAGACAATTTTTTTAATCAATACATTTGAATATTAATTGTACAGTCTATTCCCGATCATAATGGTTAGGATATCACCAATAAACCAGGTCAATAGCTTGATGGCTGAGGCCGGAACAATTAGGTCCAAGGTTTTGCTCCTATTCTCTCCTCACCCCTTTCAGGTCTGATGGCTAAAAGGAATTGTTAGGATTCCATATCAAAGAATTTTGGTCGGGAATAGACTAATTCATACGCTGCCTCACGAATTATACAAAAGACTGAAATGCCATCCAACGAGGAGAAACCTCACCATTAATGCACATTATAGCCACTCTCATTTCCCCACATGATTTTTTAAATACCATTGAATCCCATGCTGTGAATACTGCCAGACGATCGAATGCTTCCCACACGTCATTATCGCGCAGAGTCACTCTTTTTCATGCTAGAGCAATTACGGAGCACTTATATCATTAGCCGTTACTCATGAAACATTCACGACTTTGGAATTACACCTAATCAAGTTCCGTCCCATGTTATTTAAAAATGAGGCACCATCTGAACTGCGAGCACTCAGGTATCGCATGAAGGAGGGGTGGTTTCCATTAGCAGGAGTTACCTATACACCGATTTCCAGCGAGTCCTGCATGCTATCCGATGAGAATTTGGAACATCAAAATCCATATGACGAAAAATAAAAAATGCGCTGTCAGAGACACTAAGTCCTGCAGTTTAGAGCTCTGCACGGGCTGCGAACCAGCCCGATTGGCCCAACCCTGCGGGTCGGACCGAAAAGGAGATCGAGAAGGTTTGATATGGGCCCAGTCTTAAATTTTTTTTTTAATTCGACCCGTGCAGCCTCGAACGGGTGGGGGGGGGGGGGGGGAGAAAGTTTGGTGGAAGAAGGGTTGAGATTTCTTCAAGATTCATTTGAAAATTATGGAGCATCTGGATGGACTCAAAGCAAGGATCTGAGCGGAAATGCCAGCAATTCACTATGAAGAATGTGGGAACTATTGAAGCTTGCTTGCCTGAAGTTAATGTCTTGAAAAAAGAACACACTGAAAATCAGGAGTTTTATGTTCTTTTCAGTTTCTACTTCGTTCCTTACGAATTTCAAGGTTCATAAAAGTTGACTCGTCAATAATTGTATTGTAGTTCATGATTTTTCAGCTTTGTTCGGACACTTCCTGCTACATGAATTTGTTCTAATTGTGTGTGGGGGAAAAAAGCTCACCCTTACTCAATCAAGACCTGAAATTTAATAGGATCACATGCAACAAATAAGGAACCACAAGTGTCACCCTGTCATCTTATCCATGCAAAAATTCATGTCGACAGTAAATTTATCTTAAATTCTTCAACTTTCTGGCAATGCTATTCAAAACAAATGTCATCCTTTACTTTCAGTACCTCATAAGAACGTCAATATATCAAAAGTTCCAGACAGGATTCAAGGAAATAAATGGACTTTGTACTGCAACCAGAAATCTGCAATAATTTTAGTAAGAGAAACTTTTGGCAGAAAAGCTCCCAAGATTAATAGACCAAATTGCAGGAGAAGCTGAATGCAGAACACCCAATAAGGTCTACAGAAGCAATGAGATAATTTTGAGCTCCAATCAGATTTGAAATTCATGCCACAGATCAAGCTCATACAGTCAAATCCTGTTCTTTAAAAATTTAGCCTGTCTGTCTTTCCCTCTTTGCTTGAATTCACTTAGACCTAATTAGACTTATCTCAAACTAAATTCTGTAAAAAAAAATAGCAATACACTCAGTTGAACTCATGACACACCCAGTACATGCCATGGAAAAATCATGTTACCAATGCACATGGCAATCACAGACTGCTCAAGGTGAGTGCTCATGGGAGGGAAAAGTATCTAAAGAGAAAGTAAAATTAGAGAGGTAAGTGCATTAGAAAAATTTAGCAAAAACAAAAAATAATTTTTTAAATACTAAATCCTGTGTATCACATGTATGACATGATCCAAAACCTGGTGTGCTCAAGGGGATAACACCAAGTTCAACATGGCAATGGATGACAATAAAAATAAAGTAGGCTTAATGAAGTTATCAAGTTTCACAATTGATTAAAAGCACCTGCCTTGCATGGAGGTACAATTTATTTTCATCTGGCTTTTTTGATTAGCTAAACCAAGCGAATTAAATTAAACCCAAGAATTTCCAACAATAAAGAGAGAAACAGAGGTTCATACTTTGATTAACTCTCTCTTGCTTGGTGCCTTTCCTTTTCCCCATCTCTCAAAATGGCAGTAGAAGACAGAATATTTGGCCTCTTATTCTTGACCTTAACATCATTTTCCTGAGTTTTTCTCTGACTAGTTGAATTTTCAATAACTCAAAACATTCAGCTAAATACCACAGATTTCAAGTTAGCAAGTTTCAAATTGAATCATCAATATGAATCAGGTTTTCTTACCTTGTCTTCCTCAGTGGAGGGATCAGACAAAGAAGATGTCTCATCATCATCATCTGATTCCTTGGTATCTGCTTCCTGTCTCTGAAAAAAAATAAATCATAAGAATTTCTCTCACATCCATCCCATTAGTCACTTCATAATTAAGGCCACAGAACTTAGGGTTATAGATATCTATTTCCCCCTTTCCTATTGCCCCTAATCAATAGCAGATCAATTCAAGTGAAACATATGCACATTCACGGGGGTCCCTGTCTCAAAGGGGTCAAATAATTCACCTGATGAACAAGTTCACTTCCATTTTTTTTTTCAACAGCTTCTGATGTCCTGTATATACCAGAATAACAACAAGTCTCAAGTGAGAAGTCTACATCATACAAATACCATGGGCAAAGGGAAGAAAATCAAATCTGGACCTGTGTATATGTTGAAAGTACAGGCATCAAGATAGTGTCACAAAAGAGTGGTCAGATTTACAAAATGGAAAGGATTTCTCTATTTTTCATTTTTGACCCAGACAGAAAGGAAAAAGTAGGAGTGGGACTACATAGACTTGCTGATGAAGGGTGGCTGACCAGCTTCAGAAATTTCTTGGTTGAATCCATACTGCTCATTCACATATGAGTCATGTTCTAAGACAATCTCCCCAAGTATTTCAACTTACTTAGATGCAATTCTTGAAATGACAGGCACACAAAGTATGCAAATCAATGCTGATTTTTCTGGCATAACTCTCACTGCTGAATCTAGATATGACCATAGCAGGGGTTTCAGTTCATGGCTAATCTATAAACCAGAAGCTGACAAATAAACAAAACAAAAAAAATTCATCTAGTTACCTGACAGCTGATCAAACTGAAGGAAAAGTGCTAAATGAAGTAGAAAATTCTCTCTGAGAGGGAACTATCAGTAAGGGACTAAAGCTGTCCCTTATCTTGATGCCTCATCATAAGCTTTTCATTACAACTGACATGTGCAATGACCCATGCCTAAGGATAAGAGAAGGATCTCATATGCTCAATGCGTCCTTGAGAGCTCAGATGAGACTCAGAGAGAGAGAGAGACAGGAAGTAACAGTACATCACATGAAAAAAAGACATTAGGATAGTGGAAAATAAGAGGTTAGCATGTTTGAAAATCCTATTTCCTTCCCCATTCCTTATATGATATGGGACAATATAGGGCCTCAAGCTGTGGTTCAAGTGGGCTCAAGGAATAAAAATGCTTTGGAAATTGGACTGAAACTCAATGATAGCACACCTTCCATCAACCAGAAAGGCTGAATAAAAAGCAAAAAGAGAGGGGGCCAGAAAAGAAAGAGAAAGAAATTTAAAGATTATAAACTGGAAGCAAAAGTGAGAATTTCTCTCTTCCCTTTCTATGCAAAAACTTAAAAAATATAGACAGGAGAGAAACACCAAGAGAAATGGAAGGTGAGAGGGAGGAAGAAAAAGGGAGAGAGAGGCTGCGAATGCTTTTTTGCCAGAAACCAGAGAGGGGGATGTACTATAACAGTCAATACATTTTTGGGAATCCTTCATAACCCATGGATCCTGGATTTTATGCACATACTTTAAACAGAGAAATAATCCCCATCTCACCAGTCAGCCTTAAAAATAACTTGAATAAAGATACCCACACAAGCCAAATCTTGGCATCTCATCATTTCTGTCATTCAATTAAATGAAATGTTATCATGTACAGCCTAATGGAGATTTATTGATGGATAACAAAAACCTCATGTTCTTACCAGCTGCAAGAGATCAATGAGCTTGTGGGGATCATTGCCAGAGGTAAGATCAATCAAGTCAAGGGGCATCCCATAATGATGAGTTCTTTTTGGTTGGACCCCAAAGTTGTCTTGAATGTAACGAAAATCAAGCCGTTCATCCATGCTCTCTTTCGCAGCATCCAGTTCCTCTTGGGTGAACAGGATGGGATCAGTAGGGTGGTCCAAGGGACGGAATGTTAGAAGAACAACACGTCTCATGTGCGGCCTGAATACATCAAATGCATCTGCAGAGAGGACCAAACAAACTCCATGAATACATATGTAGTCCAGGAGAATTGAATTTGGAAGAAAAAGTGTATTAATTACAGTGCTGCAAAGGAAACTTGTCCAAGATGACAGTGGCGAAGAAGTCCTGGATGTCTTGGATGATTCCTTCCTTCTCTCGTCCTATGTGCTCATAGTATGCTGAGCTGTCCCTCTGTGTGATGCCTGATGATGACAGAAGAAACAGTCATTTCATAAAAGAAACAGCATTATGGCATTACTTTGAGTATAAGCCACTACCAGGATGTCATTAGAATGATTAACCAATTGGATCCCAACTTTTTTCTGAAGAATTTCTGGAAACCTATACTGGATTTTTATATACTGTGTAAGATAGCAGTCTTCCTTATTATTTTTCTCCTAATTCTTTCTTATTCTAGTAGAATAAGGAGGAGTTCCACTTTGCAGCAAAGATTTTCAATTTAAAAATGTATTACAAAATGTATTATTTGGAATTAAACTTGTCATCCTGTAAATAGGAATATGGGTCTTAATGGGTTAATTACCAACACTATGATACTTCCTCTCTCCAGTAAGTTCCTTTCCTAGTGCATGAAATGCAAGAAGTAGATAATGACAGGAATTTCCTATTATTACCTTCTTCTCCACCAATACTTGCAACTTATTTGAGCAAAATTTTCAAAGCTGACAGTAATAGGAAATATAATTGAAAATAGCACTGAGAATGCAAAATGTATGAAGACCAACCCAGTTAACTCAGCTGAGGAATCAGAAAGTGAGATCAGAGCTATCTAGTACCAATGAGGAAGAGGAAAAAGGATGGATGCAGTTTATTTTTAATAGTCAACATCATGTTTCTGCTCACTTCTGTCTCCCAATTAAAAACACAAATAATTCTGACCCACATTGCTCCAAACATTAGTGACAGGACCTAGTCTGACCAATACCCTTATAATTATGGCATGGTTTTACAAATTGTTATAAACTAAGCGCCTTCTTTTATTTTGCAGAACTGAACAATATTCATATAGGGGAATCTTACCCCAGAGTTTCTTCTGGGAGACAAAACATCTAAATTCAGATGATGGATTGATGTCAGTCCATGCTCTGAGAACAAGGATGGGATGAAATTCAACAGGGACCTCATCTTGGTCTTCACAGACTACAAATGGTTCTCTCAGTTCTTCTTGGACATGAACAGAGCTCTTCAAAAGTATGAGGATGTCATCCACTGAAGTGCACTGCAAGGACCCATTGAACCCCACCCAAGCTGCATCCTGAAAAACATTAATTAAATCAGCATTATCCCAATTTTCACCTTTCTTCTTCCTGCATTCACTCTCATTCAATTTGTTGCCCCCTGACCTTTCCCTCCATCCATTCATTCATTCTCATTCACCTTGTCTCCATCTTACCCTTGGAGAAGTCCAGTTCATTTTGGCAAAGACTGCTCCCCCCAGTCTTTCTATTGCAGCCTTGATCTGACCTTCAAGAGCTGGGAAATGTGGCACTTCCTGAAGGAAAAAAATAAACAAAATGGGAGTCAAGTTCTTCAAAGGAATGCTTTAAAAACTATTTTCATGATATGATGTCCAGTGATTTGGAATCTCTTCCATGACCTGTAGAGACTCTCACATAATAGGTAATTATAGAATCAAACTACATGAGACTTGAATATGCCACAATAATAAGCTTTCCATCATGTTTCATAACAGTGATGTTCACATGTCAGTATGCTAGGCCGCAAGGGAAGAGAAATTTTACTTTTGTTCTTTTAATTCATTCACTGATGAAACCTTACATTTCATTGAGGTACCAGATGAAGAGAATCATCAATAAGTAATATAAGTTTTTTTAATTTACTAGTGTAAATGAAATATAGCTGTCTAGGCAGGAACTGGATTCAGTAAACAAGATCACCTTGCTGCACTCTACATCAACCATCATTTCAAAGCCTTTCTTGATGTGCAAGCATTAAAATATAGGCTCAGCATTACTTAACTTGGTGGAACTGGGTGAAAAAAAACTTAACATAAGACACTTTTCCAAAAGATGCTTGTGCTGATTACATTAAATTAATAATAATACTTTTTCACTAAACAAATGTTTTATCATTTTCTGGCCCACTCAGTAGGGCAAGGGCTTACAACAATATTTTGTGCAGAATATATATAGTTAAGTCATCTATAGTCTTATACTTGAGTCAAACAAGGGAACAACTTGAATCAAGCATCTAAGAAAGCAAGTTGAGCTTACCTCACTGTAAGTGATTACATGGGTAACAAGTCAACATTGAAAAGAGAAAAAACACTGCAAAATTCACTACATCAATTGGATAACACGAGAGACTCAATATCATTGTAAGATGTTGAGCTTTGCTCATAGCACAGCAAGCAGAAGGTAGACCCATTGGAACGTGATGTCAATGCATTTCCTGCATTTGCTTCAATGCCTGAGAAATGTGAAATTCCTGATGATCAAGAGCATAGCCCTTTATCACTGTCGATTAAATCCTTGAAAGGGGAAAGTGATTTTTTGCATCAGGCATATCCATTCTCCCATACATTTTTGGTTGCCTGTTGGATTTACCTAATCCCCTTGACATAGAAATAAAGCCTATGAATCAAAGTTTCTTTTTTCTTAGTAAAAGTAAATAAGACATGAATGCACATTATTTTTCCATGGTATGTGGTGCTGGTAAGACCTCAGTTGGAATATTGCATCCAGTTTCAGAGGCCTACAAATAAGGGTGAATTGATGATGTTTAAAGGGACACAGAGGAGGGCCACAAGAATCATAAAGGAGGTTAGGGGACTTTTGAAAGAGATGCATTTAGAAGTGTTGGGACTATACTCAAGAGAGAGAAGGTTAAGGAGGGGTGATTTCATCCAGGCTTTCAAGATGATTAAAGGAATTGATAATGTAGAGCATGGTAGGTTCTTCACAAGAGGTAATAAACTCAAGTTGCATAAACTGCAGGTATGGCTCAGGTTGAGACAGGGCTCCTTTACTTATAGGGTGGTGAATGTGTGGAATGCATCAGATGACAACATAGTGGCTGCCTTTTCTGTGACTATTTTTAAGAAGAGAGTAGATGCTTTTATGGACAAAGCAAAAAGGTGGGCAATGTAGATGAAAGGGACTAGGCAGCAAGCAACTAAGATATGCTAAAAAAGGTTTAAAAATTAAAAATAAATAAATAAATAAATAAATTTAGCTTTAGGAGGAGTAGGCCTATCCTAAAATAAAGGAACACTCATCCTTGAAACGTGGTATCCAAAAGGGTGTTATCGCCTCCTGACACCACTATCCAACCTTGATACCTTGAATTATATAAGACTATGCTAAAATTATGTAAGTCAAAAATAAAAGCCACTTATTATAAGTATCACATGGGGGAGAGTCCCTTGACTTCTCTGAACCCCCCTCTACAATTCTTGTGTAAAGGAGTAAGTGAATGAATAACACAGCATCTCTCATTTTAAAAAATCTGTGTGCCATGGCTAAGAAGCACAATTGCTATAAGAAGATTAATAACAAATAAATAAAAACTACATGTGTAAATGATAAAACTCAAGAGACTCAGGATGAGCCATCTGGCTCTCTTGAAACACCTGACCAATTTCCTCCATGGGGTCCCTGAGATTGGAGATCCTGTAAATGATGTTTTGGCCTACATCTCACACACTCTCTTTCTTTCTTACGTCACTGATATCCATTGGAAAATGATCCAATTTAAAACAAGTTCAAAGGACAAGCTTACCACCTCAGTATCATCATCGCTATCATCGTCCTCGCCGTCTGGTTCTTCTCTCGAGGGCAGAACTACACCATCACTCTTCAGGTATTCAATGAACTCCTTTGGCAAATCAATGATGCAACTGAAAATACATTCAGAGGTGACAAATAGGAATTCCAGCAGGTATAGTATTAGGCCTATCATCTGGCAATACTTAAGCTTAGGTTATAACATGAAAATGTAAAGTTTTAGGCTTAGAATCAGATTTGAGCCTACTTTACAATACACATTTCCGAGCTAGCGCTATCCTAATATTTGCCCATCTCAGTCTCACCTTCTCACTGTCTTCTGCTGGAATAGATGATACCAGTTTTCGAAAGAATATGAGAGATACTCTTGAACCTTCATCGTCGAAGAATGCTCCTAACATTCGGGATCGGAGATCCAGGTGTCCCCGCTATGAGAATCGCGTGGAGCAGTGTAAGCGGCGGGCCATGACAGCAGTGTTGCAAGATATTACATCTCTCACTTCTCGATGCAGTCTGTTGTTATTATTGACATCCGCAATTGAAATTCTCTTTAATGGCCAAGTTTATTTATAGGCTAAAAACCATACTTTCAACAAATAAAGGTATGGGAGATTTTCATGTTTTTTTTTTATTCAGCCGAAGTTGCGAGGAGCTGCTGACAGTCGGCAATCAATTCAGTTATTCGCCGATATTGCATTATCCCGTTTCAGTCATTCGCACAGCCCGCATCATAAGAACCACGACTGTCTCTTTACCCTGTATTCGGATTGAATTGGTAACCCCCCCCCCCCCATATAGGGGCGCTTCCATCGAATCCTGGAAGCGAAATCCAGTTGCTTGATTTAGTGGATCACTCGTTGAAGCGGATCTTCCGAAAACAGTGCATTTTCCATTTCCCACTACCTGGGGAGGTACCAATTCAATCCGAAAACAGTGTAATACGCATAATTTCATTTTTTTTTAACAACAGCCCCTAACGAAGTGCCGTCTGCATCCCTTCATCATTTGACATTCTCCGTAAAATCACCACGCACCGAACGGATGCGGCAACCGTGGTCATCCCGCGTCGAAGTGTCCCCAGTCAGTCGCGTCCACGGCCAGCTCCACGTAAGTTCTCGTCCTTTCCCCTTTCCCCCTTTTTTTTCCTCGCGCAAATCGGATGAGCTTTCCGGCCGAACCGGCTCGTAACGACGAACGGGCGGGTCGTGCAGTCGGCGAAGAGGGCCGGAAAGCTGCCGATGTTGGCCGACGAGATTAGGGATGGATTGGGCCCATGATCCAGGCGATATTGCTCAATATTGGCCAATGTTGGGATCATTGCCTCGTAAAATGCGGCGCCGAAGTCGGTGCCAATATTGATCGACGAGAATACGATATTGCGGAAAATCTTACGCAAATATTAATCCCTATGATCCAACAACCTTCGTAATCATAATTCATAATCGATTCATCAATAATTAAAAGAAAGAACAATTTCTTTAATTGCATTTTTAGGCGCAACGAAATCCCCAGAGAGCAATGAGACATTACGTACACGCCCACACGCTCGCACACGTCCACAACGCAGTGAGAAACGTCTGCTGCCTCCTCCAAGGAGGAGCCAAGGGCCGGAGGAGCCAGGGGCTGGAGGAGCCAGGAGCCGCAGGAGCCAGGAGCTGGAGGAGCCAGGCTCCAAACCCTGTTTCTCATGTGTTTCCTCCGCTAATCTCTCCTATTAATCAAAGGCCATGTCTCCAATACGTCACGAACGGCGTCCAATTGCCGAGCAATCTCGGCCCGACGTCAAGTGCGACGTTATCAGTCGTCCGCCTTTTTTTCCTGCGAACGGCCCAGTAACGAAGCCTGCAATATTGCCTCGCGAACGTTTCGCCAATTTTCATTCGTTTCTGGCAATCTCGACAATGTAGCCAATTCACCCAGTGTCGACTCCACGTCGAGCCCGAATCTGAAATATTTCCCTCGGGCGAACCCAAAAGCCCGCAGAACCAAGAAGAAGCTAAGCGTGACATCACGTCATACAACTATCTAACGCATGCGACACCCTCAAACGAGGTCGTTCGGGTCGTTCATCCGCCCCCGCAGTATCGTCCTCGTGTCGATCGGGGGTCGTGGAGCATCGTCTCTATGGACGAGACTGCTTGAGTGGACGAGATTTTCCCTCTCTCCCGAAGGATGTCACGCTCGGCCGAAGGATGTCACCCGCTCGGCCGAAGGATGTCACCCGCTCGGCCGAAGGATGTCATCCGCTCTGTCGATGGAGTGCCGGACTTGAAAGAACTTCTGACAGCGTCTAAAAGATCAGCGCAGAGTTTGGCTGCATTGAAGTGGGAAACATTTGAAACACGTTTTAAATTTTGAAGGAGTTTGTATACATTCATTTTAATTTGTTTTAAAGTTATATTTAAAGTTTTGCCAATTTAGTTTAAACACTACTTTTTAGCATTTTGAACTCAAAAACCCCAGTCATTTATTTTAATTATAGTAAGAAAAGCAGAAGCAAATTCATTTTAGAATAATATTAAAAAATACTGTTGAAAATTCGAATAAAAATTTTTCCTGCCACCGATTTTCCGTACATAACTGCGCAGCAAACGCGGCATCTGGAGACGACATGCAAACCCTGCCGGTGGAAAATAAAAAAAAAGCAATTCCAAGAAGTTTTGCAATCAAGACGAAAATTTTCTTCGCAAGCTCATTAACAGCTTGAGTTCGAATATCGCATGCATGATGCTGACGCATGTATCCCAATTAACCTTTGACCTTGAAACTCAGCTCGACAATTTCCTTTCGCGTCATTAAGAGTTCCTGTTCCACGTGTCCCCCCCGCCCCGCCCCGCCCCGCTCCACCCCTTTATATTGGCAAGTTTCCTCACTTAATATTCATCCCTGAAACTCTAATCGATTTCGTGACGCGTTCCCATGAATTGTTGGGCCAAATTCCATCAAAGTCGCCTAAGTCCTTGGTGTTTTTTTTTTGCCATGAGTTCAAAACTCGTTTTCATTACATTTTCATTTAGTACTTGAGTACTTGAGTACTCTCGCACGGCATCATGTCCATCCCTAGGTCCCGCACACCGATGATAATTTATTGCCGTAAGATTTTCCTGTACGGCATAATTTACTGGAACGTATTAAAAGTATATAGTTATTTGATTGTAGACCTCTGATGTCCATAATTAAAAGGTTATCAATAATAAATCGACGGTATCATTAAATATACATGCCCGTCCATGATTAACTTATCCATTATCAGTTCATACGCGTGTTTATACAAGCCTCAGTACATACTGTACTGAGCAATTCAAAAGTCTGTGCCAACAAAAACTTATATGTTTCCTTATTCGTGAATAATATATACGAAGAGCCCCCCCTGCCCCCTTCCCTCCCCCCATCCCCCCCTCGCAGCTTTATGAGCCATCTCATTAAAGATTCGAGATTCAATGCCAGGTCTCCGCTGCATCATCCCAAATGAGGCCATTCATTCGAATAATTGTTCCAGGAAGAAATTCAATATTCAAACCATAATCGTTTCTCTTAGAAACACTCTCTGCCTAGACCCTCAAGCCCATTTCATAGACCCTCGAGATCAAAAACAATCAGCAAACACTCCTGAGATGAAGGAATATAGCCCCATATATATGGTATATATTTATATATATATGCACAAATCCCAGGAACCAGAATAATGAATGCAATTACACCCACACCACCGTAATTAAGCCCCTCCCGTCGAGTCCCTGCGCCTGAATGCGATGGAATCCGATACGACCACTTCAACCGAGCCCCGTTCGGCAGACCTATCCGAGAACAGACCTTTATGTGAACACAACCATTTGAGAACAGACACGTCTCATTTCGCATTCATGAAACCTCCGATGTCGCTGGGAAGTAGCTAATCCAGCATGCAAGTGAGGCTTTCGTTCCCACGAGGAATTCAGCCCTAGATGATCCATCAGACTCCACGTGGCTCCCCCGCCCTCCCTCGCCCCCCTCCCACCCCCCACCCAATCTCATACTGGATGCCACCGCGTGTAATGAAGAGGAAAGAAGGGCTAGACCAGGCTAGACCTCTCTCAATGTCTCTCTATAGATGGAGACGGTTTCATTTTCTCGCCAAATGACCCATCCCGTCTCGAAAAGAAAGCCATTCGTATGAACGAGCTCGGGGAAACGCAAGGGTTGGTGGATAAGAAAAAACTCGACTGGCCTCAATCCGGGAAAATTCGGGGAAATTCCTTTTGTAAGGGTGCACAAAGTACCCGCTGAACAAAGTCACAATACGGTACTCTATTTGAAATTCGATTATAATGGCATTGCCTTTTTTGCACAATGACGCAATTATGGGGAAAAGTTTCTTCACCGCGCCCCACCATTCCCCACCACGCCCCATTCACGTCGAAATGAGACAGATTCGGAACCGATAATTACGTTCCTCCTCCCTCTTCCCCCCCCCCCCCGTTTTGCACGGCGAACTGCGATTGCCTTGTGCAATAAAACTCGGGCAGGAAAGAAAATTCCAAAGGAGTTTGCTTTCCGTCTCATCCAGGTCTCGTTTCAGACAGGTTTCACCGGCGCCTGGAAACGATAGCGTCTTCTGTAACAGGCAACTGGTACAGCCTTTTTCGACACGCTTCTGGTCGGCCGGAACCATAGAAAAAAAAAGGGGGGGGGGGAATTGGCGAAATCGCAGGGACGGAAGCTATTCTGAAAGGCCATCAACTGCGCAAATTTCAAACGAAAATACGCCGTTGGATTAGCTAATTCCATGTTTTAAAGATAGACGATTAGATTAGCAGCTGTTCTTTGATCGCAGGGGGGGAAGGAATTCATTTTTTTTTTTCCCCAATGCAGAATTCATGAGGGTTTTTTTTTTTGCAGCCTCAATTTCCTGCCCGCCAATCTTCCCGGGGACCGAATCCCTCTAATAATCCATCATGACGCCCTTTGCATTTCCTCGGTAATCCCCAGAGACGGAAAAGAAATTCCGCTTCCACTTCCGCGCATGAAACATGAACTCCGGATTCATTATAGCTTCCCGCCGAGAATCCGTTTCGATCCCCCCATTTTTGCGCGCAAATTCCTCGCAGTTCTGAGCTGTCATCCGAGCCTCGCTCGACTTATTTGTTTTTTTTTTCTTATAAACCAAGAAAACAGTCCTCAAGGACTCCCTAACGGATGGCCTTCCCTCCACGATCTTCGCGATCGTCGCGATCAATCGATTTTCCCCTCGATTCGTTCCGCCTCCCCGCTCATATTTATTTTAGTAGCAATGAGGATCCCCTGAAATTTCCTGAAATTCCCTGGAATTCCCCCGTTGGCCCTTCAAAGAGGAAACGTCGCAGTTATGCTTCATATCAACATTATTGACAAGAAACTCGC